CATACTTATAATGTAGGAGAGACTAAAAAAAAAAAGCATTTTGCACAGTTTTCACATTTTTGACATTAGATTTTTTAAACTACTAATTATTATAAAAATGCATTAATATGAGATTCTACGTAAAACAATAAAATCCAGTGATTTCAATGGAAAGCAAAATGAACAGTTTGTATATGAATAATTGTTTCGTATTGAATCCATGTTATTCATAGAAAATGTTCTATTTCAATCTACATAAGAAAATAGTTTTTCAATTTGTACAGTAACAAATTATCATGTAACATCTCTCTCGTATATGTAATATATATATATGCATATAATTTAATTTAATTTAAAATTAAATATACACATACTAATATACTAATTTATTCTATAGCGTGCCCATTGGGATTTTGGGGTCTACAATGTACAAAAATGTGCGACTGCGGTGAGAGTAGTATCTGCGATTCTATAAACGGCACTTGTCAATGTTCTCCAGGACGGCAAGGACCTCGGTGAGTGTTGAAAAATATCAATGATCATGACTTGTTTCAAAAATACCAATGTTTTTACACCGAACAACAATAAATAGCTCAAGAATGTGTTCGTTTAGCACATTAAATCAAGTGATAGTATAAAAATTATGTTCTTCCTTTTGCAGATGCGAGGAGCATTGCGCAATTGGCCAATGGGGCCCAAGTTGTGCAAACAAATGCACATGTCAAAACTGGGATAATGGCTGCGATGCCGTAACCGGAAGCTGCATTGACGACGATGTCTCTTCGGTCGAGCAAACATTGCCTGCTTATTTGCAGAGCTCTACTACCGACCGTCTACCGCAAACAGGAATTAGTAATACGGAGCATACGAAAATGGTCTCTGTGTCACGTGAGACCACCGAACGTCAGACGGAAGGTAAATATGAAGAAAAGTTTTCTTCAATCTAAGAAAATTTTTAGACTTTAGAATTGCGCAATTATTTTTTGGAAGATGAAGAAATGGATTTTCATTTTCAAATATTGGAGACACCTCGAAAGGCGAATTCAAGTAAAAATAGCCGATTAAAATTAGGGAAAGCAAGTTTCTCGTACATTTTCACATAAAAAGTATAAATATAATCGATCACATTAAAGTGAGTTAGGTTATCGAACTTTAAGCTTAACTTTAATTTTCGAGCTGAACTTCTCCACAGAAGCCGATGCTGTAAAGTCAACGATCTTTTGAACAAGTTTGAAGAAGTTTAGCTCGACGATCTGAACTTTTACATCGACGCAGTTGTTTTTCACGACAGATAATAGATCACTTTAGTCAAGCGTAATTATAATTATTAAATATAATAATATTTGTAATATTTAGTTTCAATCGCAGGTATCAATAACAATTGGAATGACACCAATTACATTCCGAAAACAACGAGTCCAGCAACAGCTTCAATCATGGCCCCTCCTCAGGGGGTAGAAGTCTCGGTAAACGAAATGCAAATAAAGACTTCCACCACTGCTCATCCCGTGATCGTTTTAGTCTCCGTTCCCGAACGTAAAAGGGACGTTGAAAAGGATAGGCAAAAGTTCGCGACGAAGGACGCTCTTCTCCGACACGTCCAAAGTGACAAAAGCATCAGCGTGCCGAATGTCGATTATGTAAAAACTATTCACAAAGGTACTATCTTGAGATATTTCAAAAATGCATACTAAAATTTTCGTCTCGTTTTTATGCTGCAGTGCTCGACTGTTCGATCTCTAATAAAACATTTCTATTGCGACAGACGATATTCAGACACCAACGCCGATCTCGTTAGACATCGCTCTAATCGTCATCGCCGCGATTGTCTCCCTCGGTCTTACCTCGCTCGCGGTAATTATGGTCCTTCATATGCGTTCCAAATTATTCGAGACCATCCGTCTTGCTGTCTATGATGACGAGAAGACCAAAAGCCCAGAACGCGAGAGCGTAAACAACGGAAGGATGTCGGTGGTGAACGCCACTCTGCCTCGTAAGTTATACGTTCACCCAACAGCAACATTCCCTCCTAGATTGCCAGTGAAATCCACGTGTCCTTGATCCCGATAAGTCTGATCACGTAATCGTTTTAAGGATAGCCTTGACCGCCATAGCCAGTGAAAAAGTTATCTCGCCGATCGTGCGATGTTGAATCTTTTCTGCTCGTCACTAATCTGCTATCAGCACAAGATAGTTGTGTATTATATTTTCCGATACTTTTGTGATTTCAGCACCCCCGATTTGTGCGAATCCGGTATTCGCCATTAATGCAGAACCGGAAACGATACTGACGGTTGATGGCATTGAATCGTTGAATACTTACGCCAACGGCGCCGCTACGATCGGTCTTCGAATTTCTGGTAATTTTCGCAGTAAGTTTTCACTCTTTTAATAAATTTGACGCACATATGAGACACACTAGTTGTAACAATTATAAAGGAAATTAACCTCCAAGTTAATTAAAACAAAAAAATCTACAAATAACCGCTAGCAGCATTAAAAATAATTTGTAACGTAAACGGTTTCATTTTGCATTTAATTAACAGTTGAAATTCAAAAGATTGCGGCTGTCCGATCACATTTGTTACTTTGAATAAATCATAAACACTTTTTTACCGATATTATTTTTAAGATGTTTAACAGATTCTTTTACTCCCAATCTTTCAGATCTGTTACAAGACAGTCATTACGACCGACCATCAGCAACGCTGATACATCTGCAGACAAATTTGGACCATAACACGGAGCACTTGTACGACGAAATACCCATGCAGACCACTCCTTCGGATCGCAAGGATTTGTAATGAAGAATTTCCACTTACTGCGTTTATGGTCCAGTCTATATCCGTATCTTTAGTTATATATAGTTCAATAATGCGTTCATAATAAAAGGACCTTGAAACGTTTTTAGGCGACCTGTCAACGATCGATGAAAAGTCGATCGAAAAATGCGCTAAAACTGGTTTCTGACCTTACGCAGAACCGATAAATGTACAAGGCTGAACGTGACTGCAATTGAGTGGCACAGGCGAAGAAACAAGTCGTTCGAGTATGGTACTGTCAGTGACCGACAGTAGAATTCAATTAACGGGGCAACAGCTCCTTTTGAATAAACTATTTTGTAATGTCGACAGAATGACGTCAAACTGGAGGCAAATGCACTCAATTATGATTGCGCACAAATGCGCAATTAGGTGGAAAACGCGGAATAATAAAGTCCAAAGAGAAAATAGTGTGCGCCGACTGTTATTATCCAAATGGTATTAAACATTTATGCAGCCTGCGGGGCGGAGTTACACCTGTTTGCAAATAAATAGATGCGAAAATAAATTGCCCGGTATAAATAAATCTGGCAGCGTCGTTAGTGTTGACGTAATTTACGGTATAAATTACCGCAGTGCAAATAAATTTATTGTTTATTTATTCCAGTTAACATTATAAGCGATGTTTTCGTATTTATTTATTGTTACTGGCAGAACAGCGCCTGTAATATATTAATATTATATTATTATAAATTATATTAAATAATCAGTCTCGTGGTAATCACATCCTGCAAAGAAATAGAATTGTTTTTCCAAGCGTATAAAAACATATCCTGCGATAATATAAGTTTTCAAGTATATCATTAATGATATGTACGTAAATGATAATATAATCAAAATTTGTTATCGTAAGAGGAAATACACTTAATGAGTTTCGTGCACCGAAATTGAAACCAAAGAATAAAATCCTATTTAAGCAAACAATATGTGCATCCTAGAAAAATATAACGTTAGCATTACTTATTTTATTTGTAAACAATTTTATATAATTATCTATAATAAATTAAATTAAATAAATTGTATAATTATAATAAATCTTTCTTTGCTATTTATTATTTTCGTATTAGTTATGAGAAGTCACTTTATTATAATTTTATTAGCAGGGATATTTTTGTAAACTGAGAATCATTGAGAAAAATAATAAACTATATCATTATGTTCGATATTATTCTCCGGTGTTTTCTATAGGAGGAAAGAGAAATTTTCCGTTTCTATGTCATGCGATAATTTAATGTATCTCTTCGTTTTGCACTAATTTTTTTCTATTTTATATTGATCGTTTCAAGGAAATGTTATTTGCAGTCAGCATTAGCTTATCGTAATTGAATAAATAAATATCATTCATTTATCGCATTTAACATATTCTTGAATGCCCGTCTTATTATCGTTCCGATTAGCTCATGTATCCCGAATGATATCAGTCGGATTACATAAACAACGTTGAATGAGCGCAGCAAGAGTTATAATAAGCTGCTCACACACAAAAGACATACTTATACGATTTGAAGCAACACTTACATCACAAGTCAAAATAATTTTATCATTATTTTGACAATTTAAAAAACATTTTTCTCTCAATTAAAATGTTATATTCATGCCATAAATTCTTCCATATAACTTTCTCTTTTCAGGTAATATCGTTCAGATAAAACAAATGAATAAATAGATTCCTTAATTAATCTAGCTCATACATATTATTCTCCTACGTTTTATATGATAATTTTCAACGTGAAAAATTTAAAGATATTTTAAAAAGATTTTTATTTCGCTATTTAATCTTATATTAGGAAAATCCTATAAAAGGGAAATCTTGCAAACTTTATGATCGTTTTATGCGAAGAATGTTTTTATAATATAATTAAACTAAGATTTAATTGCAATACATTATCTTATCCCTTCGCTTTGCGTACACGTGATCAATTTTATTCACCCGATTAAAGCCATGCCTAATGAGTCAATTATGGCCTAGTTAACAGCAATGACCTAATCAATAATTAGATAAGAGTAAAAGTGTATGGAAAGAAACGGACACACACGAACGCTTTGGCCCCATTTGGTCTCTCTAACATATCGATATGCATAATCGATAACCGTTTCCGTGAACAGGGAATGTTGCGTAGTTTAATGAGAAATTTAACGAGAAGATGAATACCGCTGACCCTTGCAACATCCTTATCGCGGAGATGCCCACTCTCTGACCGAAAATAAGTTCAGTAGTAAATTCGCGATCGTTCATGCAACATGCAAAGATTACCAATTTGCTTGATTGTCTTTACGTGCCTTGGTGTTGGCACCTGGGCAATTGAGGGTGTCAAAGGTGGACATCGGCAGCGTTATCCTTCAAGCGGGAGTTACAGTAGCACCAACTCTTCGCAAAATGGCCTTTGCCATAAAAGAGTGCCGTAAGTAACCAATTTTTCAATTCGAGACCAACGTCGTAATTCTGACAATGCGAACATTATTTTCTGCTTGCAGTATTTCTTAAGAAATAGCTTAAAGGTAATAGTATTCACGCCTTTCAGGTACAGCCATGTTTTAGCTTTAAACGCAAGTGGATCGCTTTACAATACTATCCCTCAACCGCCTGAAGGTGGCCATCCTGTAAGTAATCGTCTCTCTGAACCAAAGACAACTTATGAAAAGATTCTAGAATTGATTTTTGATAAATATAACGAAGATATCTTAAATTATATAAAATTTCAGAATGCGATATTTTCTGTGCATCGATTGGAAATCTCTCTAATTAAAAAGACTCGATGTAAACAATTTAAATAGACGATATTATATTTTGTAGATGGTATATGGGAGAAACACAACCTATAGAAATCAATACCTTAAACGGTCTAGCTGGATCTTAAGTGCTTATATGATTCTGTATAAATTTATATACTTTGTATATAAATCTTTTAAAATGCTCATCGAAATGATTTTTCGCTCTTCTAACTCTACTAAACTACGACAGTAATATCACGAGTTAAATTCACTAACAATTTAACAATTTGATGTTTTTTCGCAACTTTCGCATCTAGAACGATCTTAATAATGCTGACATATTAAAATCTGTAAATAATTAATTCTTATTATAAAAAAAAAATTATCTCAGCCGGGAGTCAAACCCGGATCTCATTCCTAAGAGAGAGTTCTAAGCCTTTAAACTGCCGAGGCACGGAATGCAAGAGATCCGGGTTCGATTCCTGCTCGAGGTAATATTTTTCGCAATAAGAATTAATTATTTACGCTCAGCATTATTAAGATCTTTCTAAGATACAAAAAAGCATCAAATTGTTAAATTGCTAGTCAATTTAATTCGTGATATTACCGCGGTAGTTTAGTAGAGTTCACATTTCAAAAAATCATTTCGGCGCACATATTTTAAAGGACTACATACGTAGTATATAGTATAAATTCACCCAGTCTCATATAAGCATTTAAGATCCAACTAGACCGTTTAAGGCACTGATTTTTATAGATTCAATTTAAATATACGGAAAAAAATTAATTGAGTGGTACAGCAAATCTATAACTTACTGCGCGAATTCAATGTCCGTAACTAAGAAGATTTGATGGTTTAACAAATCGCTAATATTATTCAGCTGTCAATTTTGCTACTTTAACGTTGACTGTCTGTATATTACAACTGTAGATTTGCTGAATCAGTGAAGTTTTCAGCTGTTATTTTTTTTTTTCCCGTGTAACTTCGACAACGAGAATTATAAGATAAATTCTGTTCG